GTACGTTACGAAAAGAAGATTGGAGGGGGGTTAGCCTCCTTATAGTATTTATACAAAATAGTTCAAATAGTATTTTTAATCTTGAAGAAGCAGAAAATCGTGTCAATAGTAATGGGAACAAAATAATTGTTCAGGACACGCAATATAGTCATTTGAGTAAGCTACGATATTTATGTTAACATGCCAAATGTTAATGTATATTGTATACAGGTATAGGTAATTGGATAGCTAAATATTTTTAAATAAAACATGTTGCCAAACGCCAACTGGAAAAAAAATTTAAGAAACAGAAGTAAAATTGATCTGTTTTAAAATATATCTATGTAGGTTCTAACTTCTAGGTATAGGTAAGTAGGTACCTACGCAGCGGCGTATTTACGGGGTGGGGGATTTGGGGGGATATTATTGGACATTGGTGGTAATAGTAGGATGGTAATTATTAAAAAATCTCAACTCGAAGAATATTTTTTGAATGTAAAATAAAAATTTTAATATATTTTAGATCTAATTAATAATAATCAATGTGTTATTGACTTATTGTTGTTCACTAAAAATAATGACTAATGACAGGTATTCAATGTAGAATATATGGTGTTTTAAGTATAAAACTATAAACCGTACAGCATTTAGTGAGCAAATTTTGAAACCTCAAAGGGGAGTTTGGGGGGAAAAGCCCCATACTTTTACGTAGCCATTCAATGCCTCAACCACTCCCTATAACAATTCTTAAATACATTACTGCAATGAGCTTTGAACATTATTACCTATATGGCTTGACTTTATATAATATATTTAAATTTACAAACTTTTAAGGATTTCTGAAACAATAAAAGAAAAGCAAACAAAATGGTAAATTATGTATGTAAAAACTAAAAACTATCTACCAGTTTTAGTACGCCCTTAGGATTTAAAACAAATTGTATCGAGAGTTTAGACACACAAATAATAAATATGAATATAAATTGCCAACATTTAAAAAAAATGCATATTCATAGCAAAATCAATGAAACAAGAAAATTTTAAAATATCGAATTTTAACTCGTAAATCATAATTACCTAGGTTAGGTATAAAACAATATATAATAATAATAGTAGGTAGGTATATGTTGTTTTGGTTTACTATATACATATAATTATGCATAAGAAAATCATAGTATACAATTTCGAGCCACCACAGTAATAATAATAACAGTACAATACAACAAACTTCCAAGACTGGGTATTTAAAGCCAAAAAATACTGATTGTCTTCTCTCAACAAATATAGCCATATAAATATGTGCAACTGTGCATTCTGCAATGCACAATACATAGTTAATAATATAGAAAAATATATTCAATAAATCGAATAACCAATCATAAATTATTGATTCCTAAGTGCTTTTTTTAGAGCCGAAACATTCCACAAATAATAATATTTTTGACATTTAATAAGACATTTCAGAGCTGTTTTTTTTTTTAATTTATAAGAACAATTTAATACCTACTTCGTGTATAATATGATTTTCTAAACATCGTATATTCTATTTTCAAATGTCCCCCAAAAAGTTATATTTTTTTAAATTTAATAGGTAGGTAGGTATATGTTTTTACCATAAAATATTAAAATCACTTTCTACAATTGTATAATCGATTTGCGTGAATTATACAATATATAATGAATTATTATACCAATAACAATAAAATTATGAGTAATGATTTATAGGTACATACTAATAATTGCAGTACAAAATTGTAAAATGAAGTTTGAAAAAATATTTTTAAATTTAAACCTAATATATTTTACATATAATTATTGAGCAATAATTTATTTTTGAAAATAAGTATTCATTTTTGTGCCAAATTCTTCAATCTGACGATTGTCTCCTTTTTAGTCTACAGAAACTGCTCGATACCTACTGTTCATAAGATTGACATTTTAATTTGACGAAAATAGTGAACACTGTAGTTGCTATTTTGCCAACAAAAGCAGCCAATCCGGGACTAAAAATGATCAGGAATCGGGTAAATGAGGCCATCGCTTAGTACAATTATAAATTATCCAGATTCAGATTTTTCTTAAAATGTACAATAAAATAATACCTAATTATAAAAGTATAAAATATTCATATAATTATTTATACTCTTAAATATTTTAATGCCTCCAACTTAAATAAGCAAAAATTCCGAATGTAGACAATTTATTCGTAAATGCATTAGGATTAGGTAGATTCAGTTCCGTAAAAACCGGGTGTGCAAAGTGTGCACCGCATACAGGCCTCGGGCCTCATAATATATCGAAGGGCCTCAAAAGATCTAAAGACTAATATTAAACTAATATAAAATTATTAAAATATATAAATTATTTATTATTGATTTGGAAACGAAATAAATGTTATTTCATTTTTTTTATATATAGCATGGAGTCGTGATCACTGTTTTTAGATTTTGAGAGGAACGAACAAATGTATTGATTTTACATGTCGTGTATAATTTTTTTCATTTCCGTCGGTCATCAACATTGGGTAGTAAAAATATTCCGAATTTCGAGATCAGCATTTTTTCTGTTAGAAAAGTGAATCTAGTTGGTACTTTTTAGAGATCGAAACCGAAATTTTTAGTTTTAGATATTACAAAGCGTCAATAAAAATAAAAAAATTGTCTTCAGCAAATATTTATATTAATATTTTCAATAAATTACATTTTGGAATTTTTTTACTTTTTTGAGTTAGTTATAGCCTTGAGAAATTGTTTTAAAATTATAGATTATTTTTAATTAAAAATTTTTTTTTGTTTAAGCCCGAATTTTAGTCTGCTGACTTTAAAAATTGCAAAAAAGTTTTTGAGGTGTGTATTGAAAAAGATAATAAGGGGCCTCAATATTTTGGTTTTGCACATAGGCCTCAAGTAGCCTAGTTACGGCACTGTAGATATTTAAATTGTTTTATATTTAAATAATAGATTTATATGTTTGACTGTTATACTACTGTTTAAGAAATAAATCTGTAGGTGTAAATATGTTTTAAATTAGTGTTAGGTATATGTAATGAGTATTTATGTAGGGTATATTAAAACTAATATGAACCAGGAATACTCTCTATAATAAATTAGTATTGGCCCAATTATGAGCTAAAAATATTATAGGTACTATAAAAATATATAGTTTGTCTATAATATATTAAAACATCAATGATATAAGAAAATAAAAAAGTAGGTATTTTTTTTTCTGTTTTAGGGCCCATTACTCATTAGTATCTAGCAAAAATAAATATATTCATAATTATTTTACAAGCAACTGTTCCATCTGTTACTTATAAGTTTAAGTTAGTTTGCTATATAAGATACAAACGTAGTAGGTACTTAATAAGGTATTAAGGTATAATACAATTACATCATTTAGAATATAATAAACAATCTAATGAAATTAAAATGATTAAGGTTTTTTTATTTCACAAACAATTGGCCCCATTCCAAATAATGTAATTGATATCTAGGCCACACAAGAATTTTCATATTTTGAAAAAAAAAAAGCAAAGGACTTTAATTAAAATTACATTATTAGTTGATTAGTATTATAGACTATAGTAGTTGAAACCGAGTAAGGAAAACAGGTATTTTAAATTTAGTTTAATGTAGGAAAAAGATAACAGTTTCAGTGGCAAATCCAGCAGGGGCAAAAGAGGAGTTTTCCACACTCCCCCCCCCCCCATCAACGTAGTTGCCCTATGTTTTAGACTGTGTTTTTCACTGTAATACTAATACAGTAGTGGATTAAATAGGGAATTACATGTAATAACTTAATACAATCAGTCATAGACCACTTTGGCAATAAAAATAAGTGTCGTTTAGAATTAGTTGTGTAAACTATAAAATATAAATATTGTCAAATATTGTGTAGATGTTATAAATTGTTTTATCATTTTGCCCCCACCATCTCCCAAAATTAAACAATGGATCCATAACTGGACAATTAACAATTAGTAAATTATCCTAAATGAAGCACCACTATAACGACACTACAGGGACGCACAGAAGACACTATGATTGAGTCCCAATCCGAATAACTGATTGGATAGGAGATTTTGACCAGCATGTAGCCTGGTGTAGAAATGTATTGCACAATTACAGCCCAACTAATCTGTTAATGAACTTAATGAAGATTAAAATTAAAATTTTAAATCACAGCGAATAAAATTATTCTAATTAAAAAAAAAAAATAGAAAATAATGACTTATAGTACATATGTACTAGAACTGGAAACCAACTTTTCAATGTAAATTTTTTAATTAATATTTTTTAAATTTTCTTTCTGATTTCTGGAATATTATTTACAAAAAATCATATAATATTACACTAAAAAAACAATGTTACATCAATTATACAAAAGAAAAATTTAAATGTATACTGCCGTCCTAAGGAAGAATGCCTTAATTTCCCTTCATGCTATTTTGAGAAAAATTACATTTTATGTTTAGTAGTTTTTGGTAGTTCTATTTTCATAATTATAATATTTTGCGAAGTAAAATCCATAATTTCTTATGGAAATATACCTGATGAATGCAATGGAACTGTTCAATTTTATTTTAATTTTTTTTTTACCAAGATTTATGGTTTAATATTTTATACTAAATAAGCTATTAATTGTTCAGAATAGTTTATCCGTCAAAAATGCCGAAATACTGATTACGGCATTTTACACAACACAATTACAGTATATTAGTTATGTAGGTTTAGAACTTAATGTATTAGCAAATTAATTCACATGTTTAAAATTTGTTTTCGTATATGAATAATGAATGCTAATATGTTTTTCATAATAAACAATATTGGTTAATACTATAGGTCTTTATTATTTTATGTTACTGAATCATATCTGTTAACTTTATTTTTTTAGTCTATCACTTATATACAAGGTTGCTTGACACAAAATAATAATAATTAAAATATTAATATTATAGTATGTACAGTTTTACAAATATTAATACTATTGTTGATTGTTATTAGATTTAACAATTTAATTGTTTACGTATTTGGCCGAGAAAATGGTTCTAAAGATCCAGGTTGTACCCAAGATAAATGTTGAGACTTGTTGTCATTTTCCTATAAAATAAAATAATTGATTTATATCATAAATATTTATTTTAGTTTTAAAAACAAAAAATCAATTATTGTATTATAAAATGATACACATAATTATATAACACAGTAACTAACTGTTAGTATATTAATTAAAAGTATTTACATAAAATGATTAAAAATTTGTAGTTAAGTTCTGGACATAAGTGCATTGTGTATTTGTGTTATTTATTAACTTTTATGCGTTTAAACTATTAAACATTCAATATTAATAAAATACAAACTTTTTGTTGAAGCCATGAACGTCGTATTGTTCCATGAATTTCTTCGTCATAAATATCGAATAGCAAATAGTTTGGATCATTATTCTCTGAATGTTTTGGCTGCTTATATATATCAACTTGACTTTGTCCTACACAGTCCTCACATTTTTTCATATACTTCTCATTATCTGTCTTTAATCTAAAAATAAATTGTCGATAAATTATCTACCAAAAATGTGTAATATAATATTTACAATTCAGCAGCTTCTGAATTTTCAGGAGTTTTAGTTCTAGGTATATCATAAAATGATTTTGATACATGATCTATTACATGCCAAATACGACTAACTCCTTTTTTCCATTCTGGAAAATGATATTGAACATTCATTTCCCCAGTGACTGGATTGACCAATGGATGAAATAGAGGTGTCTCAAATATCACTTTGGGACAATCACAATTTGGCCATTTACTATCTATAAGTAAACGAAAACGAAAAACTCCATTTTTATAAAGCCCGTACCTCGGGAAAATTACTCCGAACCATACTGAAAAACACAACACAAAATTGATAATATTTTGGTCAATATTGACTATATAATTTTGACTTACTGAATGGAGTTTTATCAGCTGGTATAACATATACTCCTGGTATTAATTTTTTGCTCAAAATATTACTGAAATTAAATTTTGACAATAATTGATTACAAATTTGAATATCTATATTTTTATGTACGCACTAACAGAAATCCCCAAATATTCTTACACATAACACAATATAACAAAGATAACATTTACTACTACATCCACGACCACTTGACCATTCAACTATAGATTGTATGCATTTTGTTGTATACTTATAATCTGTGGTACTACCAATTTAGACTATTTAACTATAGAATTCCTTAACCACCCAATAAATTACCAATGGTATGTGTAAAACTTATTTTTGGGGCTTCTATGTACTTAATACATGATATTTGTATATAATTAGTTCAATAATTACATTAACTATTATACATTTTAACTTATTATTACTTACAATTCAGACATGAGGGTATACTCAAGAAAAAAAGGAATATAATTTGCATTTATATAGGAGTTATTGGTATTGGTAGATTTGACTGCTATACCACTTATACCGGTAGTATCATTCCCTGGAGGTAAGACACGACGAAATGATCCAGTACGATGGAATGCTTCATCACTGTTCCCAGACTATAATTAAGAATGTAAAAATAAGTTAGAAGAGAAAATAACAATAAACTATCATATTATAGATGTTTAAGTAACATTTTATTCACCATTTAAAATAAATTATATTCAACTCTTATTAATGATAATTATTTTAAAATTGAATTGAGTATACATTAACATCGGGCTATCGGAGTAAAAATAGAAGAAAATTAGGTAATTGAAAATGTCTCTTATATATTTAAATTTTATAAGTGAATTACAAAATTATTATAGATGTTTAAAAATATTAAATAAAAATGTATTGACATTAAAAAATATTATCTTATGTACATTTAAGTTTTATTGCACAAAAATTTGTCTCACAAAATACAAAAAATGACAAGTATTCTATTTCTTTATCTATAACTACAATATTATTTTTTGATATTTGTTATCACTATTTACATATGATAACCATAGATGATGATAACAAAACATACTGATTACAGAATTTATTTTTCATTATTATTCATTCTTTATTTATTCCGTGCACTGACCATCCAGCTATCCAAGGTTTATAGATAATCGTTGAGTAACCTTATGGCTGTATGTGCTCACTACCACTATAATTTTTCTAGTGACTAGTATGCAGTCCTGTAAAGTATTTGAGTAAAAGTATTTGAGTAAAAGTATTCAAATACTTTTTTAAGTATTGAATAACTTTTTAAATACTTTCAGCATGAAGTATTTTGAATGGTATTTTAAATACTTTTTTTTGTATTCAATACTTTTTGGTATTGAATACTTTGGTTTTTTATTTCGAACATTTTATTTTTATTCGAAATAATTTTAGAAATTTTAGAATGAATTAAGAACACAAAATAGGTAGTATCACCAATGGGTGGTTTCTTCCCTCAAAAAAAAAATCATACGCAAATACCCTATGCACATTTGCTTATTGTTCTAGTTAAGAACCGATTGTAAATTTCATGTAAAAAAAAAAAAAAAATGTAATAAACATTTATTTAATAAATAATAAATAAAAATGATTATAAATTTACTACCTATGTGTCTATATTACTATAGTTAGAAACCCACTTTAAAAACCAAAAGTATTTGAAAAGTATTCCAAATACTTTTTCAAAGTATTTGAGTAGTATTTTAAATACTATACAATTAAAGTATTTGAGTAGTATCTTAAATACTTAAAAAAAATGTATTTGAGTACTTACTCAAGTACTTTTCAAAAGTATTCTTTACAGGACTGCTAGTATGTTACCCACAGATATCTATCTATACTAACCACGATTTAAGATAGTCGTGATTTAAACCGTGATACTAACTAATATATGGACCAAGGATATCGGTGACGCTACCACGATTAAAGAATCGGGTTGACAGGACCTGTATCCTGGTTATTCAACCACTGAACCACAGTATATAAAGAGTAACTTTTAAAAGTTTTTGAAAATGATTTTGCAGTTAAAAATTTATACAATTTTTATCTTTTATAGCAAAGGATTGATAAGTTTTGTTTTGTATATTAAAAATATTATTCGTGTGTACTTAAAACTTCTAAAGTATATTATTATAGGTACACAAACATTATAACAAATTATAAATGAATAAGCAAATAATAATAATTCAACTTAACCGGATATCTTATTAATAATAACATAGGTATTGCAATGTATAATATCCTAATTTCTAGATTGACAAACCGTATCCGCTCAAAAGCGTTTTTCGCATACAAATATACAATAATGATATTATATGATTGAATTCAAATTTAATACCATCCATTACAGTACAACAGTACCGTATAAGCAGAGCGACTTCCACTTTTTTTTTTGATTGATCACCCTTCTTTATTTAAATCCTGGTAGTCGAGTTTTGGACAAGTACCTACAGACCTAACTTATAATAATTCGTATTGTAATTTAATTACCAAATAAATATAACTTCCCAATACTGTTTCTAGGGGTGCCGGCGAGAGAATGCATTAGGTTGTCTTTAACTATGGTTAAGTATGACATGTGGTCAATAACTGAAATGGAAAACCAGAATAGGTAAGTACATTTTAGATCACAATGTTTTCTGTAAAAGAACATACGATTTATCAATAGAACGTATAGGTATTTGGACATTTGGTACTGTACTTATATAATCATTGATTATGATTAGGTAGTAGGTACCTACTAATACTATAATACTATATTATACATTTATACTAGTATTCATAATTTTTCTTCTTCTTTGGCTTGACACAGACCATTTACAATTCCTCTCCATTGCATTCAATCTACTGCCAAATTGATGCTATAAGTTGGGTCCACTCGTGTTAAGTCACTTTTCGCCGTATCGAACCATCTTTGACGTGGTCTCCCTATGGGTCTTTTTCCACTCAGATTTCCATCGAGCATTTTTCTTATAAGATATCCTTCTGCACGGCAGAATTTTAATTAGTAATTTTAATCGACGATTAACGATTTTAATAATTTCAGTGAACAAAAAATAAAAATAAACCAACAACAGACAGACAGACAAGTTCGTTAAGCAGTATATATTATAATGTAAGTTATAACACGAACTCGCACATTTCGTTACGTTCATGTAATTTTCATTAAATAATTGCTTTCAACTTTCAAGTTACAGTTCGGAACGAGATGAAGACGGATGAAGATAGCTATGTTTCTTCGGTGGGGTCACGTACTGCAAGTCTGCATTCTTGATGCACTCTAGCTAGGTTTCACCGGAACAGTCGATGTTTAAAAGTAAGTTTGTTTTCATATTATTTTGGGATTTACGTTTACTTTTTAGACTTAAAATAAATATTTATTGCCACGGACAATCTGTTAACTGGGTGACGCGTAGAAGCATAAATGTTTACTCCCAAAATCGCAATGTATATTATAATATATAATTATAATATATAATATTCGGGAGCCCGAACAGTCCTAAGCCAATATTTTTGCATATTATACAATATATAGTATAATCTTCTTCTTCTTCGGGTGTAACGGCCACTAGGACCATCCCGTCAAACATCCCTCCCTCCTGCCGTCTCTGTAGGATGCTCGTTCTTTCCAATCTGATCCTCCACCTAAGGTACTTACATCTTTTTTAACCAGATCTTCCCATCTCATACGAGGTCTTCCCAGAGGTCTCTTCCCAACTGGATCTTTCTCTAACACTATACGTAGCAAGGGGTTCTGAGTTCTGACTACACCAAGCATGACCAGCCCACTTTAGTCTTCTACTCCTTATTGTGTCTAGTATATTTGGCTTGTGGAAAAGTAGTCCTAGTTCATTATTCGTTCTTATCCTCCACTCATTGCTACTGCTATCTTTCATTGGACCATAAATCTTCCTTAGAACTTTTCTTTCCCATACTATATCAGCTTTCTTTCATCATCTTTCCGTAGTGGCCATGTTTCCGCTCCGTAAGTTATATATAGTATAATATGCAAAAATAATTATATATATATTCCAGGAAACACCTTAGGTTTCTCGATATTTAAAACATTAAAATATTATTAATCGTTATATTTTATATACATTATATACCTCGTATATTTTATTAGTTTACTTACAATTTATACAGGTGTAGTTATTATACCTTAGATATAGGTATTAAATATTTTGCAATTATATACTTTACCATAATTATTGTTCTTGATACGTAATAGTAATTACTAATTATATATAGCATAATGATATACTTTAAATTTGAATAATATAAATTTGTTGTTATCAAGAATTCAAGACTCACAGTATTACCATTACGTACTATTTTCTGGACGTTTTCAAAACGGATTATGATTAAAACAATTGCATAGATGTCGTACCATTTGCTAGATAAACCCGTATGACATAAAATACGTATTATTCACGTTTTTTTAAAAAGTTTATTCGAAAAACATATGCAATATACTTAACGATGAATCGTTATACATTTTATATAGCTCATACAATTATTATATATTCATAGTTCATACATAATATATATGGGGATGTATAAACTTCATAAATATTTTATGATTTAAAACGTGTAAATAATTTAATTAAGCAATCAGGTATCAATTTTAATATATTAGGTACCTATAAGTGATATGGCCAGTGTCACCGGCGCATAGGGGCAGAATGCATTTTTTTTTATTGTTACATTATTAATTTATTTATACAATCTGTAAACTAATTTTTTTACAATAAGTACAAGCGCTGTGGGAGTTGATGGGTTGGAGGCTTGAAAGAAGAATCCATCATCCAGTGATGGAACTTCTTGACAGATTTAGAATACATTTTAAAAATTAAAAACATAATACAACGTAATGTTGTAGTAGAAGTTGGATACTGTAGTATATTATTCTAATTTATAATAAAATTAATGTAATAAATATTAAATTCATCATTGAATGATTATTCAGAGGTCAATTGGAGATAAACGCCAAAAGTATAAATACAATTAAGAATAATTAAAAAACAATTAAATGCAAGGATTCTTATAAATTTATCTTACAGGAGCCCAAAAATATCAAAAATACATTTATTATCCCTTCATAAAACACATACCAAATTATATTATATAATAATAAATAATGAACTTAAAAATAAACAATATGATTACATACAGAGTATAATATATTATTTTTTTTCATGCAGTGAAGGTGTTTGGAGAGGTGGCAACCATCCCCCACCCGGGCATGGTAGATACCTACGACGCTACGGGTGCCCACTTAAAAATACTATAAAAACAACCACACACGACACACGTGTTGAAAACCTATATAGTACTCTCCCTCACAGTTCCACAGGCTAATGAACTCAGTTGTTGAAGCCTCAACTCAAAAAAAATAAATAAATATGTATTATGTATGAAAAACTAACTTTTATTTTGACTAGGTACTTATCGTGTACACATCAAACACAGGTCACAACAAAATTTAGTATTTATAATATTTTTTAACTGCTATTATATCAACTTACGATGAACTTTGTATTATTGTTAAGCTTTTTGACCCAACGAATAACATTTTATTGGCATTTATAGAATACAGAACTAAAAACATTTCATAATTCAAATATCTAAAAATCACTGAAAACGAGTCGAAATATTTTGAACATTTTATAATGTATATGATAGTTTAAACATTTGATGGACATTTTAAATACCGACGGTTAATAGTTGTTGAATAACAACAAAATAAGAAAATACTTATACGAGAATCATAAAAAATGCTCTGATCATAAGCTTAGATGCCCAATGTCTGTTTTTGGAAACAAATTGGATCTAGTTAGGAGGTCGAAATTAAAAATGCTCAGTGCTATTTAAAATAATTGGAGAAAAAAAATGAAAATTTATTACAATTATTTTGTAACCAGCTTGGTTATAAAGTCCTCACTTGGATTGTATTTGATTAATTAAAATTTCTTTTTCTATAAATGTCAATACAAAAATTATTTATCCGGTCAAAAAGCTTAAAAATTTAATACGTACATTTTTATTATACGATACATAGGCATCATGGTTATTTTTTATAAGCATTTTAAGTTCAAATTTCCTTAAAACCACAGTTAATTTGTAGTATAACATGGATATTTAATACCTCCCCCACCCGACATTGGAAATTACTGTTATACCATGACAACAATTTAAAATAGTGTACATCACTATTTATATTTATTATAAAACACATAAATTTTATATTCACTTAATAAATATTGTACCTACGTCCTACATGGCTACCTAAATTTAAACTTTTAAAAAACTACATCGTGTATAATATTATGTAATATTATATTATATTATTATGCATGTCAACCTTGTATTTGTTTTTTTCTAATTGCCGATTACTATCACAGTTTTATCAGTAAGACAACACATATTGGTTACTAAGTTCTAATTTTTTTGTTTATAAATCATAAGTAATCTAAATAATTAGATGTTGTTTAAAAATTAGTTACATTTATTTTTTATTAGGTACCTACTCTAATATCGTTAGAAAATTATAATGGTATGACAAAAAAAATATGAACTTGTATTAAATATTTTATAATTGTACAATATTCTAGGATTCTAGACAGAGTAACGATGTGGAATGCCCTACATGTAGAGGTCTAGGAAAAGTTCCTTCAAATGGTGATGTAATCGAATTCGTAATTTCTTGCAAAATAATATACATTTAAGATATAAACAATTTTAAGTACAGGATGATTATTTTAAAGGTAAACATTCATTTTAATTTGAAAACCCTACATTTCAATTTATTACAAAATCAATAGTACCTAATATATTAAGTAATTAACTTTTTTAAATGATAGCATTCCGTTGTAGTTTGAAATTCCAAAGCATATATCTAATATTTTTCTGAAATTTTCAGTATTTAAAATTTTAATTTAGACCGATTAGTATATAAAAGTATAGTAACTAGGAAGTACCAGTAGAATTTTGAACTAATAAATATTTTATGTTATGATGAGCGAGTACTGGACTAACAATTTTCAGAGTTTCCCCTGAGCCATTCCTCAAAACTTAAAATATTTACTTATAATAAGTTATAATATTAAAATTCGATTTTTAAACATTGGAAATGTCTACAAAATATTTTGCTTTGGGACATGAAATAATAATGTATGCTTGTACATGTATTGCTCTATTATTTTATTAGATATATTGATGGAAAAAATATTAATTATTTATTCAAAATTCCTGTTCTGCAGACTGCAATACTTCTGAATGAAGTATGCTGTGTGAAAAAAAAAATATTTCCATAAATTATAATATGTTGTACGATTATGAATGTTTGCTAATAAAATAATCGTCTTATATACATGCATTATAATAATAAATGTACAATCTATAAATTTAATTCTATAGTAAAATTGTAAATTATATTATGGTCTTATTTAATTCAAAAATCCCGATAAATGTATAAAACATTATCGTATAATTACCATTTTAGTTGTGGATAAATGTATCCATTTCCAAAATGTTAAATTTTTTTTATGTGGCACCACCTGCACATGAGAACAGAAAGATTTGCAGCATCGTACAATTTTTAAAATAATTTCCATAAAACACGTAGGTAATTTACAATAGATACACCGGAGTATTACCTCCACAGAGCCATAAGCACAACTTTCCTTACCTACTGATCTAGCTTCAAGTTTGTATATATTTTGTCGTGCACTACAATCAGTGGAGACTGGAAATTTAAACTTGCTGAGAGCTTTATATCAAACTCCTTAAATAATTTAACCTGTGATATTATTGATCTTAATAAAAGATATATATATATGCTTCGTGTCATCACTATAAAGTAGTAACATAATAATAATAATAATAGTCATTAGCAATTACAGTGGCGTACCCAGTTCAGCTTTAAGGCTGAAGCCCCAAACAAAAATCCTGGGTGTGCGTCTGAACCATTATAGGTATATTGTATTCAATTATATTTCTAATTACCATTACCATCATTACTACCTAAATATTATACAATACAATAATTATTGGCAATAGTGGTCAATCATGATATCATGATTAATGAATATATATTACGCATTATTAATTATTATTACGTAAACTATACCTACTATAATTTAAAGCCAAACAAGTAAAATCTATTTTGTATATTTTTTATATTTACTAGCACTGTAATAAGTATATGGCAAACTGGCAAAGCTAGTTATCACTCTATCTCAAATATGTTAATATTAATATTTTTTCAACTATAGGTATGTACGTATTGGCTATTTTAAATAATATTTTCATATTTGTTATTTAGATCCAATACTAAATCAAAATGAACAAAATGAAAACTACACATTTGTAGTAAGTATACAATTATAAAATATTCTACGTATTATGATTTACGAGTATAAGACGCATATTCTCAGATCAGAGAAAGAACTACTATGTATAGTGTGTAGTAGGCATATACGTGGAGATAATGAGCCGCCTTATATAGGAAGCATTGGAAAAAATTTAGTAGGCTGACCCCATCCTCTCCGATCTTCACCTATAACCTCCAGCTAAAGAATACTCCGATCCACGCTCCCCACGTGACAGCCTGTTCCACTATGGCAGGGTGTCACGTAAGGATGCCGATTTTTGTCGGGCCGTCTAACCCTCGCTCATGGTAGCCATGCCCTGACATCTTAGACTTAACACTTTTACAAATACCTATTCCAAAAATTTATATATTCTTTACTTTATATGCTTCGGAATGTATAAAATTACTTTTCATTACAATTTAAAATGTAATATAAATTATAGTATATTTTTTAGTTAATTTAAACATGTTTATGCATTATGTCTATATGTATTTTTCAGTTCTTATAAAAGTAGAAATTTAAATTTTTCTACAATAAATAAGTTTATCATAGAATTTTTGTTTAGGAATCTAAGGCATTTGTACATGTTGGAGATCAAACAAATACAAACGTGACATCTGATTTCAACAATTTGTAAAAAAAAAGACTAATGTATATTTTTATTAAATTTAAACATGAATAAATATATCAGTTTATTTGTAGGAAATTATTAACAGAAATGGATACAATTATTGGATGTGTAACAGATTTATTACCTGAAAAAGAACCACTTGATAATCCAAAAGAAATTATCAAATCAATACAAATTCGTTTGAAAAACACTAATTCGTAAATTTTTTTAAATTACTCTGCACACAATACAGTCTAATCAAAACTTATTTAAATTAATAATTTTAGAGAAGAACACATAAGAGCAATTTCTGATGCGATACTGGTAGCACGACATCACCCGAAATTATTAAAACCTCATATAAACTCGATTAATCGAAAAGTTGTTCAATTTCTTAACGGTCAACGAATTTTTGATGTCCGATTAGCATGTCAGTCGGCTGGTGAACTTTTCAGGACAATGCGGTGTACAGATCGACCAGTAAACTCATTACCTACCTATATCTTATTCGTTTTTAATTTTTTACTAAATTATTTTAATAATAACTTAATTAAAATTGACCAATAATAAATTGTTTACAATTATGTACATAGTTATTTGATGACATTGTGACTGGACTTATGAACCGTACAGCAGATAAGAATAAAAACATCCGCATTGATGCAAATTGGGCACTTGATAAAATGGTGATCAGCATCCCACCGTTGTATTCCATAAAATCAATAGCCAACTGTAGTCAACACAAAAATCCGGCTGTTAAAATAGCACAGTTGCGATTGATGCATTGTGTTACTGTAATTGCTGATCCAATGAAAATATTAACTGGAATAGCTGGACTAAAAAAAGCTAGACAATTAATTCTTAAAAGTTGTGTAGCTACAATAGAAGATCCTAACTCAGAAATTAGGTAATAATACGCAAGACGCAACATGTTTTATATATATATTTACAAAAACGCTCGATAAATAGATAGATATATAACAGCTTGCTCGCCTTCTTTGTGAACTTTGCCTATACTTCCAGAGTAAGGTTAATTGTGGTAAATGAGTGGGGTAAGTGAAATATAGGAAGTGGCGTATTTAGGGGAGGTTGACGGGGGGCAATTTCCCCGGGGCCCCAAATTCTGAGTCCTCAAAGGGGGCGCCGTTGCTAGAGGTTAGGTATAACAAAATTATTTTTTATTTTATTGGATTTGTTGAGAAATTATATTAGTGATAACTGATAAGTGAATATCTGTATCTTTCTTATAATATCTTTTACATTTCTATACATATTTCTATGTAATATATATATACATATATAATGTATTTTATCAAATTGTAGTAAAAAAAGGCTAAAATCAAACTTATAATTTGTTTATTTAATTAATTAGGAATAAACGGAGTGTTAATGGTAAAATAAAAGTGTTCTCTAAATTAGTGGAAGCATAAATGCAATAAGGGGAAAATATACATTTTGGGTTATCAACTATCACTTTTACATGGCTTGAAACCGATTGAAAAAATTTCTGTTTTGGTTTCGATTTGTACACCGGTTTCCAATTTTTTTTCGGTTTTGGTTTTGGATTTTGTTATCGGTTTCAGTTTTTAAACGGTTTATACCGGTTTCAAAAATCGGTTTCAAGACCTGGACTATTTACGTTCATTCTTAGTTTATTAATTTTTTTGAATCGCTGGATCGAGCGTCCGATCGCCTATTGTGTAAAGTAAACTTTCCAAAATGTCAAGATACAAAGATTTTCAAAAAAAAATACCGATTTTTAAATAATATTTTCTGTTTTTAATTATAATACAGATATCCAATTTTTTTCGAGTCGTTATACCAAAGAGTCCATTCAGCGTAACACCCAAGTATTTTTAGTTGGGTTTATATGTATGTATGTATGTGATGTTTAATAATATGTGATTGTTGTTGAGATGAAAAGTGGAGACATCTGTTTTATTATAGGGTTCATCCGGTGTGTCCATTGTGTGTGAAGTATTCATTTAATATAGACCATATAATATAGGTACTAATTACTAAGTATAACATAGCATTTAAATTGTGGTAATTACTAATAAATAATAATTCAAATGTCTAATACCTACCTATTTACACCTAACCACGCGTAGTCGCGGTATAAGTAATCACCCACTGCACATTGAGGAGAATAAAAATCTATTTATTTACCTTATCTTAAAACATAAGCAATGGTTGTAATATTGTAAATGTATTGCTTATATATTAATTATTAATCAAATGTTTTTAAAGGTTTCTGTCAAAAAAGCTCATGCAACTTTTAAAAAGTACTTGCTATGAAAGTTTCTGCTCGTCATTAGTTCAAGATATTAGTTGGGACGAACTAAAAATTGCTGGAAAGGTATTTATTTTAAAAAATGTATCAAAAATATATTAACTATAACTATTGAGTATTGGATATAAATTATAATTATTAATTATCATTATGTACCTAAATATATTATAATTATATACATCAAATCATAGATTAAAATAACATCATGGATAGGCAACACTAATGATCATTTATAGTTCATTATTTTAATTTGGATTTGACGAATTAGTAGGCAGTAGCGTATGATGGCAGGAAGTGAGTGTCGAGCAGGTAAATACTTATTTCCCACCTACAGCCAAAATATGTACTAGGTAGTTAGTCAAATCCAAATTAAAATAATGAGCGATACCTAAATGATTGCATTGGCAAGTAGCGTATAATATAGGGGTTTTGTATAGCTTTGTCAATTACATTTTTTGACTGCAAAATTTTCATTTTTAAATCAACCACTATTTTTATAGATTTTTTTGGTGTCAGACCCGGAGTTTCTAAACGCTAGATTAGATAAGTGGTTTTATTATCGATCACTGACGACAAAACCTATCGACGATCAATATTTATATATGTCAAATGATTGGTATTTTGTTATTGACCTATATAATGAAAATAATTCCTATATACTGTTTGGGCCACCCTTGGTATATACTAGTAGGTATATACAGATATACTATATATCATATACGTCCCTGGCGTAGTGGTGTTGCTAAATATAGAATAGATTATCTATAATTTATAGTGTTATTTAATCTATGATAAAACAAAGTAGTTTTTTTTTAGTTTTTATGTCCGGGGACCAGGATAATAACGGAAAATACCAAAACGGATGTGAACGGTTTTTTTCTCAAATTTAAAGAGCACATTACGGAGCAGGTACATAGGTGGAGCTTGGGGGGGGCTCCGACATATTGGAAACCACCCCAAATTATTGAACATTTTTCAAAGCCCCACTTCTTATTTTATAAATAAAAACTTTAGCCCCACCCCTAAAATTCAATCAAATTTCCGTCTATGGATAGTTTGTAAGTTTATTTAGTTATACCTAATGTTATATAGACCGAACTCCAGTTATATAGACCTGTGTCCACAGAATATAAAATTATGAGCGATAAAATAGAAATACGCTAGATGTTTATTTTTTGGCTGAGATAATCTCCGAAACATCTGACTCAATATACATGCTGGATAATTGCTGGTTTCCGTAAACTGTAAATAATTTTTCAAAAAAGGCCAGACTATAATAATATATACTAATAATATACGAGTTACGACCGACCCAACCCTTGGCCGCAGAAAACTGCAGAGTGGTAAAATAGGTAAATACACTCGCCATTTGATCGGTGTTTAATTTATAGCACGTAATTTTTAAAAAATCTTTTATACCTACATATGAAACAGTAATCGACCACTTTGGTGAAGTCGGGTAGACAGGATACCTTTAATATTATACGATAAAAATTTAAATAAATATAGTACTTGTACTATATTAGTTAATAGGTTGTAGGTAATCTATGTAATATATAATACTTATATCGACCTATAGCCTATAGGTATTAGAGTAATTTTATAAATTTAACTGTTGAATTTTTCGGAAGGTAACAATAAACTAATATGTAGGGTTTGACGACAAATTTGAGGTGATATACCCATCCGCGTCCCACAAAACCACCAACAAATTAAATTAAATTAGAACGATTATAATTTGTTTATTTTATTTATTGATAAGGTATTGATATTCAACAATTATTTAAAAAATATATTAATAAATAATAGGCGAAAGCCTAAACTTATGAATTCACTGAACTCTATACATGGAAGGCGCATTGTATATAATTCGTGTATTGAAAAGTGTCCCTATATTTAGGGCCGCCATTTTGTTTCCGTTAGTGTTCCTATCGATGATTTGTCATTGATAGAATTATTTTATTAGCTTATCTTCTACGTGCTTCTACGAAATATCAGTGATTGAGTGATATACAGGTGAATTGCATATTTCGCATATAATTTTTATTGTTTATTGTATGAGAAGAATCAAAATGGCAGCCTACTAGGGTGGGACAGTTTTTTTCCCCAAAGCGCTTTCCATAGTATACAGTTCAGTGTCATGAATTAAATGTATTTTTTAAAATTATTAATGTATTGTAAATTTAATAATAACCATAACGTGTTTTTGTACAGAATTTAAATATGGAAACCTTAGCAGCTGATATTTTGAAGAAAAATACTAAATGAGCCAGTTTTGACGTGATAATTTATGAAAATATTTGAACTACCTATTAAGATGTTCATTGAAATAAATATATATTTTTTGTAGTTATTGGTAAATAATAATCAATAAAGTTTCAAATTTAGAAGTATTATTATATACAATTATGTCAAACAAATTTAATTACAATGAAGCAACTAGCAAGTGTTGACGAAACACAAATTGCTTTTAAATTATTAATAAATATCTGAGTAACTGGTTAAGACGGTATTACGGTAAGTTAAAATTTACAATTGTGGACCACTGTGAATGTTAAGAGCGGTAGTAGAACAAATAGATATGTTATGAATGACATATTTAATGTACAAAAAAAAAATCAGAGCTTTAAGTTAATATGTATATGTACATAACAGTTATATTAATCAAACTTAGATGACTACCAGTTAGGAAGAATGCGAAAGCAGTTCCCGCGGCGTCGTCGGTTGAAACCTGGAAAAAAAAAAAGATGACTACCAGTTATATGTCTATACAGGGTGTAACAGATAGAACTGACTTTTGGAATAACTTTTGTTCTAATTAATATATTTATTTTTATTTTTTTATCATTAAGAGATCCTGCTAGCACTACATGTATAATTTATTTATATTTTATGTTTATTTTTTAGTGCTGATAATAAAAAAAATTTAATTAATTTAAATAATTTTATAAAAAGTTCAAAACAGCTATTTTATAAAACTATGATTTTTAAGAATTATAGAGTTAACATTTTTTATTTTCATTTAGTCGTTTCTCAGATATAAGTAGGTATATATTATAACCATTTTAAAACCGATTATACTTTTTGTGTTTGTAAATTTGGGCTTATTAATAAGTCGTTACCCAGCATGATATACTTAAGTTAGGAAAAAATGACGTATGTGAAAACCTCTTTGAATCATACAATCTAAACTAATTTGAAATTTTTTTTTTTTATTATTAATTAGGGGTAACTTTTAAAATTCAAATGGGAACCTACAGTTTTGAAATATAATTCATATGGGATTTTTTTTTTTTTTTTAATGCATTTTGACGTATCATTCATAATATTATGGGTTAATAATTAAAGAATCTATTTACATCTGAATTTTGTATTTAATTTGTAAAATGATATCAATGAATAATAATAATTAATAATATACTTTGAGTTTCTGCTATACGCCGATGCATTATATGTTGTACAACCTATTAATAATCTGTATATCTGTATATACGCTATATCTAACTATCAATTTATTATAGTAACACAACGTGTGTTTGGTATTAGATTCTGAGCGGAGCGATGAATGTATTGGTTTTACAATGATGTATGTTTTTATATTTTTATATTTTAGATTCTGAGTGAAACGATGAATGTATTGATTTTACAATGATGTGTGTTTTTTTTTTTATTTTTTTTTTTATTTTTTTTTTTTTTTATTTTTTTTTTTATTTTTTTATTTTTTTTTTTATTTTTGTGTCTGTCATCACGTTTTAGGACAGTAAAAGTGCTTGGATTTTCTTCATCAGTAGCTTTTCTGATAGGAAAGTGAATCTAGTTGGTACTTTGGGGGGTCAAAAGTATAAATTTCTCAGTAGTTTTCACAAGCGCCGGGAAAAACAACTTAAAAATTAAGGAAAAACGGGAATTTTTAAGCAAAATTGGTTTTCCAAAAAATCGATTTTGGTTTTTGGTGTAACTCTAAAACAAATGAACGTATATACATGAAATTTTCACTGGTTGTTTATATTTGCATTTTCTATACACGATAACATTTTCAAAATATTTTGATTTATTTTGAACTGTTTAGGGACATTTTCATTTTCCATTTTTTTTTAGTTTTTTTTCTAAAAATATCAATAAATTTTATTTGTTGGTTGCGAAAGCTTGAAAATTTAATAGAAGGCTCCTAATATATTGTTTCAAAGGCAGATGAAAAATATTAAAAATCCTTAGTCACAATTTTTTTTTATAAGCATTTAAAGTTCAAAAATTGACAAAATATGGAAAAATCACGAAAATTAGCAAATTATTTTGAGTTAAGAATTCGTAAAAATTTTTCTTTTTAAATCTAAGATTTGAAAATGAAACACAAGATTCCTTGTAAGATTATCTACCTTTATCAATAAAAAAATCTCTACCGGACAGTCAAGTTAAATTTTTATGAGCGTTTGAAATTCAAATTTTTACAACATTGGATATTCACTCGATTACTCATGTAGCGATTTCTTTATTTTGTTGCAATTCAAAAACGAACAACTGTAGATACATGAAAATTTCACTGAATGTTTAAATTAGCATTTTCTATACACCATACAATTTTGAAAATATTTTGACTATTTTTGAGCTGTTTATGGATATTTACAGCTTTCAATTTTTTTTAGTTTTTTTTTCTATAAATATCAATAAAGTTTTATCTGTTGGGCCAAAAAGTGTAAAATTTAATACAAGGCTCCTGATATATTGTTACAATATCAGTTGAAAAATATTAAAAATACATAGGCACGATTTTTTTTTATAAGCATTTAAAGTTGGAATTTTGACAAAATTTATCAAAATCTCGAAAATTATCAATCGTTGGAATTAAAAAATTATAAAATGTTCAGTTTTTATAACTAAGAGTTGAAAATTTAAAACAAAGATTCTCTTAAATAATTCATACTGTAACCAAAAAATCTAAAAAATATATAAACACACTTATTTTTTACAGACATTTTAATTTCAAATTTAGACAAAATTTCATATTTAAACCAAGAATTACGATTTTAGTTATTTTGTTGTGATTGAATAATATTATTCGTGGGTACTTGAAACTTCTAAAGTGTACTATTATATATCTATGACAGTATCACGGTTTTTGTTGATGTATAACGCGTTATAACTGTTATAAGTATCTAATGGATATTGTGATATGATTAATTTGGAATTTATTATAGGTCATTTTTTTGTTTAATACCATAGATATGTATATAATATGTCTTATACATAGACTGACATACCGTCACCGCTCAGAATCGTTTTTCTTATACAATGATATTATATCATTGAATTCAAATTTAATACCATCCATTATACAGTGACCCACTTGTAACCTACAGTACAGCAGAGCGACACCCACTTGCCCACCTTTTTATATTTTTATTTATATTTTTGTGTCTGTCATCACGTTTTAGGACAGTAAAAGTGCTTGGATTTTCTTCATCAGTAGCTTTTCTGATAGGAAAGTGAATCTAGTTGGTACTTTGGGGGGTCAAAAGTATAAATTTCCCAGTAGTTTTCACAAGCGCCGGGAAAAAACAACATAAAAATTAAGGAAAAACGAGAATTTTTACGCAAAATTGGTTTTCCAAAAAATCGATTTTGGTTATTGGTGTAACTCTAAAACAAATGAACGTATATACATGAAATTTTCACTGGTTGTTTATATTTGCATTTTCTATACACGATAACATTTTCAAAATATTTTGATTTATTTTGAACTGTTTAGGGACATTTTCATTTTCCATTTTTTTTTAGTTTTTTTTCTAAAAATATCAATAAAATTTTATTTATTGGTTGCGAAAGCTTGAAAATTTAATAGAAGGCTCCTAATATGTTGTTTCAAAGGCAGATGAAAAATATTAAAAATCCTTAGTCACAATTTTTTTTTATAAGCATTTAAAGTTCAAAAATTGACAAAATATGGAAAAATCACGAAAATTAGCAAATTATTTTGAGTTAAGAATTCGTAAAAATTTTTCTTTTTAAATCTAAGATTTGAAAATGAAACACAAGATTCCTTATAAGATTATCTACCTTTATAAATAAAAAAATCTCTACCGGACAGTCAAATTAAATTTTTATGAGCGTTTGAAATTCAAATTTTTACAACATTGGATTTTAACTCGATTTCTCATGTAGCGATTTCCTTATTTTGTTGTAATTCAAAAACGAATAACTGTAGATACATGAAAATTTCACTGAATGTTTATATTAGCATTTCCTACACACCATACAATTTTGAAAATATTTTGACTCTTTTTGAGCTGTTTATGGACATTTACAGCTTTCAATTTTTTTTAGTTTTTTTTTCTATAAATATCAATAAAGTTTTATCTGTTGGGCCAAAAAGTATAAAAATTTAATACAAGGCTCCTGATATATTGTTACAATATCAGTTGAAAAATATTAAAAATACATAGGCACGATTTTTTTTTATAAGCATTTAAAGTTGGAATTTTGACAAAATTTATCAAAATCTCGAAAATTATCAATCGTTGGAATTAAAAAATTATAAAATGTTCAGTTTTTATAACTAAGAGTTGAAAATTTAAAACAAAGATTCTCTTAAATAATTCATACTGTAACCAAAAAATCTAAAAAATATATAAACACACTTATTTTTTACAGACATTTTAATTTCAAATTTAGACAAAATTTCATATTTAAACCAAGAATTACGATTTTAGTTATTTTGTTGTGATTGAATAATACTATTCGTGGGTACTTGAAACTTCTAAAGTGTACTATTATATATCTATGATAGTATCACGGTTTTTGTTGATGTATAACGCGTTATAAGTATCTAATGGATATTGTGATATGATTAATTTGGAATTTATTATAGGTACCTATTATAGGTCAATTTTTTGTTTAATACCATAGATATGTATATAATATGCCTTATACATAGACTGACATACCATCACCGCTCAGAATCGTTTTTCTTATACAATGATATTATATCATTGAATTCAAATTTAATACCATCCATTATACAGTGACCCACTTGTAACCTACTGTACAGCAGAGCGACACCCACTTGCCCACCTTTTTTTTAATTTAATTTAATATTATGAAGGTCAAATCACATGATTGTATTGATTATTGACAATAAACATTATTATATAACCAAGATATGTATGGTAAACTAAATTTAAAAGCAAATTCATTATTTTAAAAAGACGATTCTTTTTCTTTTTTTTTAATATGACAATCTATAGTACCTATTAAGATACATATCTCGTTTATATCCAACATAGGTAGGTGTCTAAAGAAATTTAGAGTTTATGAAAGCCAGCAGTTTTATATATGCCTGATAAAAACATAGTTCACAATTTTTTTTTTTTTTTTTTGTCTAATTTGTTTTTATTTGTACAATCTGTATAAAAATATAATTACAATAAGCACAATGGAGGGGAAATACAATTATAGGGCATTGGTTATGGTTGGCTTGAAAAAGAAGCTATTCATTAATAGCACTTCGTAACGGGATGGTGGACTAGTCGACTAGTAGGTCACGGCACCAGCTACGCTTTAAACCTCGGCCAGGGTCGCCCGGGATTGTTCGGGAAGATAGGTTTTGAATGAGAGGGTTTCGGTGATTTGAAAGTTTAAGGTGGAAACGTTTATATAGGGTTTTGGCGACGTTTTTTACTGTCGGAATGAGGAGGTCCCTGTGGAGGGTATCATTTGTAACATAAAAAGGGGCTTTAGTTATCTGCCTGAGGCATTTGGATTGAAATTTTTGGATTCGGTTTATATTGAAGTCTTTGGCTGAACCCCAGAGTTGGATTCCGTAGGTCCAGATAGGTTTGAGGAGTACTTTGTACATGAGGATTTTATTATGTAGTGAGAGATGTTTGGATGATAGGAGGAGGCGAAGTTGTCTTTGACAATTATTTAGTACAAGTCGTTTTACTTATATTTTAATAAATGATATGTATATTTACTATTTCGCTATATTTATTACATTATTAAATGAGACCGATGTTTAAACAAATTACTTAAAAATTATGGTAAAGTATTCAAACGCTCAAATTGGTTAAAAATAGTTGGTTTAGTGTAAATAACCTTGAAAAATATAACTGCAAGTATTTAAAAAGTTATATCAATATAGATACTTATTTTCTACAACACTTACAATACTTAAATTTATTAGCTACAAGTAATAGGTATTATAAAATTATATTGGCCATCCAAGCTTGCAAGATGCAATGCCGTTGTATACCTACATACAAGCTGGACAAGATTTCACTTACATGTGTAATACCATGCCAGAGGTTTGATATATGCCTAATACAAACGTCAAACGTATACTTGATAATTTAAACTTAGAGAACATTGTTTAAAACAAGTTCAATCAAATAATAAATCAAAATATATTTACTATTTTGCTATATTTATTACATTATTAAATGCGATCAATGTTTAAACAAATTAGTAGAAAACATTGACAAGGCATTCGTATGCTCAAAGCCTCAAAATGTTTGGTTTTGTATGAATATTTGAATAACCTTGAAACATAACTACAAGACGTTAACAAGTTATAAATTCTTGAATTGTATTGATACAAACCAACAAAAAACCATACATGCAAATATGTATTAAGTAAATTGTTGAATTCTATGAAATTATTACTCATGAGTCATGAGTCAGGAATTAAAGTAAAATAATATTAAACACATTAGCAAATCTAGATATTTAGGAGCCTAAATATGCTGAATTGTGCCACTGTTCATTTAAGTATAAACGTATAAACAGACATCACAATATTAATATGGAGAATATAATTTAATGTCAAAAATGTCACATTTTAAATCATAAGAACGATACATTCTAGAGAAATTTAACATTGCTTTTTCATAATAATTTACCATAGTACCATCATAACAATAATAAACTGTTTGATGTTTATAGAAAATGGAATATATCTATTAATAGTTTTAATTTAAATCAATGGGCTAAATAAAAATTAAATAAAAAAAGAATACACATTGAATTGTGATGAAAAAGCTAATTTGAAATTTGAAATCTTAGATAGGTACAAATGTACAATGACTGTTAGAGAAATTGAAGATTATTTGAAAATAATGACGACTATTGAATTTAAAAATGTCTTATTCAAAATGGTTTAACGTTCTACATTTCAAGATTTTAAAAATGTTTCAATTTAAATCAATAAGCTAAATAAAAGTTCAATTACGTTAAATAACTAATCTTACAGACTCCAGTTTTGCCTAGTTTTTTTGGTCTAAAAGGCACATTTTGTTCATTATGACTGCAATTTAGTAGATATATATTATTATGCTATTATATTATGCTGTAGTAGAATTATATAGAAGTACCTATAGATATAGATAATTTATGTGAAATAACGATGTATATCTACCACGTGGCATTGTATTATAGACCTATATTTATTACAGTGTTACCTATATACCTACTCTTCGTTATCCTCTCGTCTGCGGTAATTAGTATTGTCTAACAAATTAAACTAAAACTATAACTATAGGTACAGTCGGTACAGAATAGAATAGATAGGCAGGTACATATTTGTATTGCTGCACATGAATAAATACCTATTTTTAAAATGATGAAATTTAAAAAAAATCTGTCATGTGAAATTTATATGTTTGAACTATTTGTAATGAGCTCACCTCATTGTCAAAATACTAAAATTAGTATTTTATAGTTCAATACTGTTACGATACCTATTGATAAGTTGGTAGGTACTGTGAATAGGCATGGAATAAATATGCTTAAATATTTAGCCGTTGTTTCTTCGTTATTAATATTTGTAGAAGCCATTCAAAGATGGCATACATCACAAGTAATGTTAACAAAATTATATGACATGCAAAACGATCATTTTAATGTCTTGGATAATTACTTGGATTTGGAGTCAAAACGTTTGGAAGAATTAAAAAAGTAATTATATATTATAATATTAAGATTTTCCAATATTCTAGCACAGCTAGTCATATACTAAGTATAATATATAGTAAACTAAAACTGTATTAGAAATAAATTAAGATGGATTTTATTTAAGTACGATTTTTAGGTACAATTTTAAAATTGTAAGTTACCTACCTAAATACCATATCATGTAGGAATTCATTTTCTTTTACATTTATGTTAGGTAAATAATAAATAACTGAATTATTTATTATAAAATAAAAAAAACTGTGTTCTATAGTATTATTATTATATAATGTATAATACATAGTTTATGTTTCTAATTAATACTTTTTTTCACTTCCTACCTATCTAATATCTATAATATATTATATACTATTATGTATAATTATGTGCATTTTAATATTAATTTTAATTACATTACCAAGTTATGTAGCTGCAGTATATGAATGGCGTGATCAAATAAAAACCAAAAAAGACTTCTTACACGATCACTTGGATGTTATTAAAGTGATGACACAAATGCACCAACATTTTTTGAAGATTGATGATTTAATAAAGAATAAACAATTCTCAGAAGGTAACCAAATGTGCATGCTTAAATGTATTGGCTATTATATATTATATAACAATTTTATTATAATAATTAATAAGTATATCATATCACATTTCACTAATGGACCAATAAATATAGCGTTAAAAGATATTGACGACCACAAAGATCTTAGTGGTGATCATATATTGTGGGCACATCGAGCATTGAGGAGACTACAATTATTTTATGCAATTCCTGCATCAGACATGTCGGAGGGTAGAATGAATGAAAAAGTTATAGGTGATCGAATGGATGGTAATAGTTAAATTTCCCGTTTTCAACCGATAATCTTCAATATATTCACTAATTGGTTAACATTTATTATTTAGCATGTGAATGTTACGTCATGGCGAAGTACTGTTTAGAGGGAAATGATCCGTATGGCGCCTTATATTGGGCTGTTGAAGCCTATGGAAAATGGGAGAGTGACGGTCGACCAAAATGTGTAGATCCCGACATTTTAAATTACTACATAGTATCATCATCAGTGTATACAGGTGAAAACTGTGTGAATAAAAATGTAATATGATAATGCTATTTTAAAAATTAAAAACAAATACACAAATTAATTAGGTAACGTTTCTGCAAAATTGTATACATTTTTATGACGATTTCGGAAAATTAAAGACAGCGTAGTTGATACTCTCTCCTTTCAAAAACCTAAATTAAATGTATATATCGACGCCCCCAACGAAGTGTGTCTTAAATTCGTAACTCACTTTTATAATTTTTTTTTTATACGACTATGACTTTTATACTTATAAATTATAACCACTCTAATAAATGCTTTTTAGGATTTGACTTTATGAATTTAATAAACCTAAATGGATCAAATTACCAAGAATATACTGAACTATTTGTGCGGTATCATCACCTAATAAAAAACGAATTATTTGAACTGGAAAAGGAAAGAGCAATGGATATAATGGAAGCATATAATGTTAGAATAATAATTATTATGAAAATTACAAATAAAATATAAAACTTATATTAAATGTATCGATTTAAAGAATTTGATTGGAAGTGAAATTATGAACGAATTTAGACATTTGTGTAAACATGGCGTCTCAAGAACATTAACAAAATACTCAAAATGTAGATACCAAACGAACAATTTATTTTACCGAATATTGATGCCCTTTAAAGAAGAAGACATTAATAGTGAGCCTCTCATTAAAATATATCATGATGTATTATATGATGACGAAATCTTGAAAATTAAAATGATGAGCTTAGCAAACGTACGTATTTTAATTGGCTTGAATAAATCATCGTTATTATTATCTAATTTAGATGAGGTATAAAATGGTATAAATATGTTTATAGGTACCAGATACCTGTAGATTTTTTTTATTTAGTATAATTATAATGATAAATTAATATCTTGAGTCAGAGAAATCGGAAATTCTATACTGTTTCTCTGCTTTGGGATTTTTGGTTACCCCATCTCTATCTCTAAATAATAAATATACATCTATATATATATATATATATATATATATATATATATATATATTTACAATGTATTATATTAGTATATACTTTAAAGTTTATATAGTCATAGAACAATAATGAGTTAAGAATTTAACTTTGTGAGTCTTATAAAAAAAAACAGATTTATGATATTATATTGATTATCTCAAGAGATATATTGCAATGATTAAATCCTCGTGGGACACCTTGTACCTATAAGATTTGTTATTTATACATTTATAGTTTATACTAATTAATTTAACTAACAATACAACGTTTAAGTAAAAGTGTACCTACATTAAAATTGAGAAACTTTTACTAATTATACATGCTACAATTATTACGATAGTTAATTTTAAATTTTTATTTACATCTTAGGTTTGACATAGCTAGGAGCGTTATTCGGTTCGAAAACCCTAACCGGCCTAACTGTTAGTAACATCTCTAATATAGAGATTAGAGTTATTATTATTTATTATAATATATACCTATATCACTTTATGAATTAAAAAAGTCTTATCTATATAATCATATTACCTATATACTAGATGAATGATGCTCAAGTCAAATCAATTGCAGGCAACGAATCCGAATTACAAGAACAAACTCGCTCAGGTCAAGTCTACTGGATTAAAGAAGTCGATGCTGTTGAATATTTTGATGCACTAAATACTCGTATTGAATCTTTTACCGGATTTTCGACAAAGACAGCTGAGCGATATCAAATAGTTAATTATGGTTTAGGTGGTCATTATTTACCGCATCATGATCCGTTTAGAAAAGGAAATGTAAGTAACACAATTATTTACCTATGTACCTATCAGCTTTATACATATAGGCTTTAACATTATTTTTAAAATACCGATTGGAAATTATAGAATAGGTATGAAATATATAATTTATAATCATCATATTTCATTAAATAATCTATAATTATCTGATTTTTTTTCAGGAAAATTTGGAGCTTGGTAACAGATTAGTAACCGTATTATTTTATGTTAGCCAATTTTATTTTTTTCTCTAGTATACCTACTGTCCTACTCTATTCACAATAAGAAACGCAAACGGCGACAACCAGTTTTCGTCGGCAGCAGTCTGGTAACACCTGTTTGTCACCCCACTGAGTTATCAATTTGCGCAAAAGTCAGCCTCTGTTTGCGTTTCTCATTGTGAATAGAGTATAAGAACCTATATTATAAAATATAATAATTTATTTTTATTTTATTAGTTGACTGATGTTCAAAACGATGGTTATACGTCATTTCCTATGATAAATATTATTGTCCCTGCTGAAAAAGGATCTGCGTTGGTTTGGAATAATTTGCATATGTCTAATGGACAATTATACTATGAAACTCTTCATGGATCATGTCCTTTATTGAAAGGAAATAAATGGAGTTAGTAGTGCTTTTATAATTTATACAGGCATTGATATTTGGTAGAACAACAATTAATTCTAAAATTTACATTACATCTGCATGTGCAGATTTAAGTTTGTATGATTCATACAATTTTCGAGACCAAGTACTCCATTTTAAGGTTTTCCAATAGTTTCCATACAAATTAGTTTAAAATATAATGATAAGTCCAAAAGTACCTACTTTGAGAATTCATATATTGTGCTCATTGCAGTTTTTACACCAATGTAATTTTACATTTTACATTTAAGAGGAAGCCACACCCTCATGTATTGTCTTCGTCTTACAAACGCGTAACATACATATAATTTTTTTTTTTTTTTTTTTTTTTTTTTTTTTTTTTTATTAAAATACATCTACAATCTATACAGTTAATAGTATAATAATTAGATTTGATAAAGGAATATAAAATTAACAGTGAAATAATATGATTGGGAAGTTATCCATTGATAACACCCAGCACGTGATAATATATTAACTTAATATTAATATAAATATGAGTTGAAGACCTATAAGGTACAATAGTTAGTTTAACGTTTCTGGCGATTAAAAAAAAAAATTTTAATTAAATTAATTATGAGATAATAAAGGTAATGCACTATGTAACAGGCTGTTTATTTAGAACAGCTGTAAGGAGCGTGATGAGGGGAGAGATTAGAGAGGAAAGTTCAGATAAGAATTTTGTTAGTGGGTTATCGGTTGTGTGAACATTGGGTAATGGTATATTTTTAGAATTAGTAGCGGATGCGTAAGAAGTTTTGGGAGGGAGAGGGGGAGTTTGGAGATGAAAAGAACTGAGTACCGGATTCGGATTCTGTTGTTTTGAATGAGTGGTTCTGCGTCGTTTGAGAAGAGATTTGTATATTTGACATCCTTTGTAGTTGGAGGTGTGATTGCCCATGCATAGGGAGCACTTAGCTGGGCTGGTTTTGGGTTTGATGCAGTCGACGGTGTGGTGGTCGCCCCCACATTTGACACACCTTGAAGGATGGTGACAATAGTTCGCAGTGTGACCATAGTTCTGGCAGTTACGGCACTGAGGTGGACCACTCTTGGTCCTGTATGGAAATTCGACTTTGATATATGTGTGCAAAATAGTAGACAAGTTTAGGATTTCTTTATTGTTGGTGTTGGGTTTTAACTCCACAAGAAAAAGTGGGCATGGGTGACCATTTTTTTTGACGTTTGTGACACGGCTGGTGTGGTGACCTAACTCCGAGAGTGCATCAGATATATCGGGGATGAGTGTAGTGTGGTGCAAGTTTCTGATAATGACCTTGTAGGGTCGACGTGGTGGAGGCATAAAAGTATGAAAAAAGGCACTGGTGTCCTTTAGATGGTTCATGATTAAGTTAAACATGATACGTCCGTGAGGACGAATAATCAAAAAGGAAGACGTGGACTTGCAAGAAAAACCGTTTTGGCCGGTGATTTGAACTAACGCGTTTTTAAATGCGGAGAAGTTGGTGATGTTTTGAACGTATATTGGCGGAGCCCTGTTGTTGACCTGGTTATGATGAAGTGTAGACTCGTTGGTTATATTAGAAATAACATTAGAGGTGTCGTGTTGGATTTCGATGTCCTCTTCGGTAGCTAGGACAGCGAATTTATTTGGCGAAACAAATGACTTAGTTTTTTTCCCCATTTGGATAGGTGAATTTGGAGAAGATGGCAGCGACCGTTTGGATATAAAAATGTTCGGAGAGGTAGTGTTATTCATATTGGAATGAAAACGTGTTCAACGGAGTGAAACCCGAGAACTGTTAACTGTTTACATACCTACTGAAACGCGATAACGGAGCGAATATAACCGTACAACGTGCGGTCGCGTTGCAGGTCAACAGCGAACTGACATATAATTTACGCTCAGAAATTCAAGTTTTATGCCGTTAGCTTAAAAATTAGAGCGAATTGACCTATTATGAACATATTATCTGTGTTTTGTTGTAAGTATTTTTACTATAATTCAGTTTTTAAGTGAGTTATGAGCATTTTTAATTTACATTTATTATACACGCTATAACTCACTTAAAAACTGAATCATCGTAAAGAAGTTTCCAACAAAACACAGATAATGTTCTTGCCATCAAGTTTTATAATGGGTCGATTCACTCTAATATTTGAGCGAACGGCAAAAAACTTGAATTTTTAAGCGTAAATTTGGGAAGTTCCACGTTTGTAAAACGGAGACAACACATGCGGGTGTTGAGTCCTCTTAAATTAACTTATAGTAATATTTTAGTATGTACCCATTTGTGTAGCCAGGAGGGGGTTGGGTGTTTACAAAATGTAGCGGTTTTTTTTCTTTAATATAAATTAGGTATGTATATATCAATGTAATATTTTTGTATATGTATGAATGTATGATCAGTGATCACTAAAATAAGAATAGTGTTGATACGAAGCCATTACAATAAATGCCTAATAAACTATTTATAATTTTTAGTTATGACTAGATGGCTGTACGAAGAAGGACAACATTTGCCTTATAATTGGAAAAATAAATAAAAACGTGTACAAATATAATATACAATGAAATAACAATTTTTTGTGTATAAAGTAATAAATATCTCTTAAGCAATCTATTTCTACTCTATTTTTGTAGTATTCCACTATTACTGCTATTCACTTATAAATTAAATATAGGTACAATTACATTCTTAACCAGTTCAAATAGTTTACTTACCAAAAATAAAAAAATTGATGAATCATAAAAATGCAGTGAAATGTAATTATGCATATTCGTTTTAAAATTCAATATATTGTGTCATAAACTGACATTGTGTCCGATAGACAAATTATTGTTGATTACGAAAAACACAGTCATTAAACAATTTTACGAACACAAAGCCATTCAGTAGCGGATCTAGAAGTCATCCAAGGGGGGGGGGGGCGAATTTTGTAAAATTAAATTGTCTTTTTGTTTAGCCAAATATTATAATAGAAAATAACGTTAAGAAGACAGCCCAAGGGGTCCCCCCCCTGTATGCAATTAGCGTATCTGATATTATTATATAGCAAAAACTGGGACAACTTTTCTCGCACCATATTTGTTGTAGAACTACCAAATTTTCACAACACGTAAAGAAGAACTTTATCCATGCAACAGAGTGCTTTTTTTTATAAGCAAATAAAAAAACGAAATGTTCATACTCCAGGCGGAATAAGAACGTACCCGGTCGGCGGACCAAAACAGGTATGCTGCGCGCAGGTCATAGTTATGACTATATAACTATATGTTTATAACTATGACAAGGTCGGGGATGGGAAACTAGTCGCCACCTTCGCAACGAGGTACGTTCTTATTCCGCCCGAAATATAGAAGCAAATAACTTTTGTTGTAGGTATTTATGTAATCTAAAATATAAGCACGCTGTTGCAAAGATAATTTTCTACCCTATATGTTCAGAAATTTTAGAGCCACTACTACAAACACAGAAAGATAATGTTTCGGTATTAGACCAAATCTAAGTACCCATACTATTTGTAAAAAATCTGCTGAGAACCGTGAAAACAATTTAATCAAAAAGCCATCGGCACAAATTAGGTTGATAGGGTAGGGGGAGCAATGTTTAGCATCCCAAAAACTGATCAGATAAATGATGTATTTTTATGTAGGTATCGTAATTTAGTCATTTCTCAGATTTCATCAAAATACCCTAGCCCATTGGCGCAACTAGGGGGTGCAATAGTGTCTTTAGCACCCCCAAGTTCTAATTTAGCACCCCTTGTTTTTTTAGGTCTAACTATCATTATTATATTGAAATACCATACATTTATGTTTTTGAAATATGAAATATTATAGCACCCCACGTTTTAGAATTCTAGTTGCGCCTATGCCCTAGCCCCCACCCTCATAAAAAAAAAAATTGGAGCCTTCTGGTGCCTACATATTATAGTACTTTTACTACACGATTCCAATGGATATTGATTTAATAATTAGCTCTTCCCCCATCACAATATGTACGTACAGTATTTGTATTTTCAAAGCCACTATGTCATTTATACAAAATACTAAATACATACCTAACTGAATAAACAATCATAATTACTACTATTGTATGTTCATGATATTTATTGTTTCGTTATAATAATATGTCTGCTACCTTAAATTATATTATAATAGTATATTATATATTTTTAAAAATGCAAATAGGCTATACTAGTTATCATTACAATATACATTTATATGGATAATTTAGTACCTACTTAACCCAGATAAATTAAAATTCACTGCGAACACCTAACCAAATAGATCATAGATTTATTTACATGCATGGCTTAAAAATCTTGAAACGTTTTATACGTGTAGTTTGTGTTTGTTAGATATATAGGTGGTACCTATTTATAATAACTAGTTGGTGCATTGTGTAGGTACGTGATCAAAGTAGTTATCACTGATGGATATAATGTATAATTTACCGAAAACTCTTATTGCTTTATATTTAATTCACTTTAACTTGTGTCACGGCAATAATTGGCATTACTCATTGTCGTCAATCTATGAACTGTTCAACTTGGAAGTCGAACATATAATTGCAACGGAAACATACATCAAGAATGAGTATAAACGATTAGAGGATATCAGAAAGTAAACACAAATTGAATTGAAAATGAGAATGATGTATTTGAAAACATTTTTTTGTAATTTGAAAAATGTTCAGGTTTATAGATCAACGAAAGAAACAAAACGAAAAAGAGTTGGCAGAGTCGTACACGGAGAGCTCAATTAATGCGTTCAAAACCATTCTACGAATTAAAAATGATTGGGAAACATTAAAAAACAAAACTGCACAAACAACTGCGATTGGTAAATTTAAATATTATTGATTTAGTCAGAATTATTGTTTTGTTTTAAATTTGATTCACTTCAGTCTATTGAGTCTTCCTCGTGTATACAGCATAATTTTAAGCATATTTTAACATTTTTAAATTTAGGGGAATTCAAAGATAAATCAGTGACTTATGATAACATTGTCAGTGGATTAAAAGCTATAAGGAGGTTACAGATTATCTACGAACTTGATGCGCAGGACATATCAAATTGGAACATTGACGGCCACCCATCTCAACCGTTTGATGGTATCTAATAATACTGTAACAACTATTAAACATTTACTTATATATAATATTATAATATAACACTATATATGTAGCGAGTCGCGAGTGGTACCATTATTGTGTAATAAAATAATTTTAACTTTATGGATAAAACTAAATTGTATAGCCGTATAGGTATAAGTGTATAACTATATTATGTATTATATGTATGGGTCACAATTCCATAATATAACAGCTGATCTGCAGAGGATGAACAACGTATTAAACGCCTGAAAAAATGATCTGGAATAAGCAGACTGCAGAGTTAGGTCAGGTACTGTGGTAGTGTGGTACTTGGTAGATAGGTACTCGTATAATATACGAGTTAAACATAATATTTTATACATCTAAATGTTTAAATCAACAGTTATCATAATATTAAAAATAATACCCTGTAACAGATAAATATTAACATAAAACTTGACTAAAAAATTTAATTTCTCAATGAGAAAAATAATCAGAAATTAAAATGTACCTATACCTATCTATTATTTTGATATTAGGCTCACAGACAACCAATGAATTAAATAAATTTAAAATAAAAACCCCCTTCTACCTACAAGTATTCAATACCGAAAGGGATTTTGCTGTAATGATTAATACCTACTTAGCAATATATAGACGTTAGACATCATAATATATTAATTTGATTTACAATTTCTAGTTAACGATTGTTATGATATGGCATCTTTGTGTTACGATAATGCTGAATATCATTGTGCATACTGGTGGTTTGTCGAAGTCTACGATAGAAATAAAAAAGACGGTTATAAATTAAAAATCGATTACACCACATTCATGAAAAAATTTGCCTGGTCGAGTTACTTAGTTGGTGAGTACCTATATGTCCAGATATCATAAATATAATATATATAGGTATTCGTTCAGTATGTGACCTAACGGAACGTATGACCTACCTAAATATATAACGAATACCTATATTTACATATAAAATATATTATGTATACCTACATAATATTTATAAGTTATAAATTATAATACTGTAGTTAGTTGTAGTCATGATTAGTGAATTATTAGGAAACTATAATTTGTAGGCACACATGGCGAATGTGCCACATTATAATTGTACTGAAACAAATTTAGGTGACGTTGACGGTGCAATGTATATATTAAACGAGCATGCAGACGAAATTAACGAAATTCATGATGATATGATAAATATGCGGTTCACAGTATGGGCCGGAAATAAAGTTTATAAACGCAACACGGCAGACGACCATGATAAAAATTTCTACTCGTATTCACTTCAAGTAAACATAATAATGTAACGTTATAATATGTTATATCACATACCGGTATCATGGCTGTGATTAATGATTATTATATTAACAAATAGTAATGTATAATTTATATTCGTATTAACCCGGGGGGGGGGGGCTTTCCAACTACCATGGGCTGCTATTTGGAGACTCGTGCTCTATGCAATATGCCCTGCGGAAATAGTGACCAGCAGGCATCATAATATGGTATATAGTAGGTATATCTTTAGTTATGTAAATAACCCCTTTAAAAGTAGGGAGGGTCTAACTTTTTATTCTTTTATTATTATTATTACTTTATAAAATGGTAAATGCTGTAACCGTAGGTACATTGCAGTATAATACTGAAAAAATTTAGTTCAGCAGTGAAAGGGTTAATTAATTTTCAATGGCAATAAAATAAACATTAATAATGTGTAAAATTCGTATAGAAATTAGATTCAGAGAAAGAAGTGAGTAATTTCAAAACTACGTGTCGGAATACAACGGATTTCATTTACCCTAAATTGAAATGCCGTTATTATCATGGAGGTCGTAAATATTTGATGATTGGTCCATTACGCGAAGAAATTGTATCGTTAATACCCAGCATGAAGCTGTATCACAACGTTCTGTATGACAACGAAATAAAAAAGATAAAAGAATTGGCTAAACCAAAGGTAAAGTATTGTAGGTACTTGTAGGTACCTACTACCTACTACCTATAGATATAAAATTGTATTAATATAACACTATACGTGGCTTGTGTATTTCTTGTACATAGATTCAAGTTGGACTTGAATATGATGTATATCTACTTGACATCGTTTAAATTGTATAATACGTAACCCACTATAGGGCCGTTTTAAGGTAAAATCCACGGGGCGGGGAAATGTTATAAATCTTGAATTTTCAAATTAGACCTAAGACATAAAACTTTCGTTGGATACCAATAATTCAATTTACAAATTTATTTTACTCTATGTACATATACTTACATAAACACATAGAATGCAATTTTTAAATCACGACTTTAAACTTAAGTATATGTATTCGATACATTTTTTGACCATTTACAATTTATTTATTTTTTTTTCATTTGATAAAAATAAAACACGGCAGTATTATCAAGGTTTATCTATGTATATATCTCCTGATAAGATCAACTTATAAGTTTATCAAATATTCAAATATCAAAATTTTGTTATTGTGTTTTAAATATTATAACTGTTATATTTATATTATATTCCAACTTCTTACTCTTGCTAAAGTGCAATACTATTCCATTAGGTATAATATGCAACTCTTAATACCTAATTAATATCTCACTATAAAAATATAGTTGAAAATAAAATTTTAAAAAATAAATGCATATTAAAGCATATTATAATGATGTTTTTTGATTATGTTTGCATATTTTTTAAATTTTTAACAGAATATAATGAGAATATTTGAAGGTGTTTTAGAGAATATTAGCATCATATTTTGGGTATTTTAAGAGAAATTAAATCCGGTCTTTAGTAATGATCAATGAACCAGTCGTACTTTGTCAATGCGTGTGTTCGGTACCTTCTCAGTCCTATGTGAAATACGTAACACATGCATAGGAAAAAAGTATGTTGCTGCGCGCGGGTCACCAATATCGACACATATTCGACTGGAAATATTTTAGAGGCATTTCATTAATTAATTGAAAAATTAAATATAATAGATCAAATAATTGAAAAATTATAATAAAATCAATTGATTAAAAAATTTTAAATTTTCAAGTTTCTGATTTATTCCGTTGTATTAACCCAGAGGTTCTCAACCTTTTTTGACTCGCGGCACCCATGGACATTTTCTAAAAATCCGGAGGCACCCTATGCTCTATAGTCTATACTATAGAGTACTTCGGTTCTATTTATTAGTGCATAAGTATAATCAAAAGTAGTAAGGTGTAGGTGCATACTATATACATACCTATTACATTTATAAACAAATTATTACATTGTATTTATTTTTAATGAAATTGTTTTTTCTAAAAAAATATTTCAAATAATTTCGCGGCACCCTAAAAAAATTTCGTGGCACCCTGGTTGGGAATCTCTGTATTAACCTAACTACCTATCTGTATGCCAAATTTAAACTTTCTAGGTCATCTGGAACTGGGTTAGAATTTTGATCTATAGGTCAGTGAGTGATATAAATGACGATTTTGGGACGTTAATATTTAAATAATGGTTTTAGGTGTGTTTATGAAATGTAGAGCACATATGTATCTCGTAAGTCTCAATATATGAGCCAAATTTAACATGTTTATGTGGAATAGTTTTTGAGTAATGAGAGGGTCAAAAGTGGCTCCAAATAGTTCGTGTATAATATTACACACGGGGCTGCTCGCCAGTTCTGTTAGCTAGAATTTGGCTTGACACGCTACCGCGTGTCTAAATGGGTACATAGGTATATAAAATATTAAAAATCCTCATATCTAGCTTAAAAATTAAAATATCGAAAAAAGCACTTATACTGTTCTTACAATAAACTTTGATAAATTGAGCCAATTCACTCGTATTATAGTTATAATATTCGATTCTGATGAATAACAATTTGCTACGCCGTACGTTTCTAAAACGGAGACAACATAATATGCATATAGGTAGTGACGTAGCGTCCTCTAAATCATTTATATTCTGCTCATTATTTTTTAGTTGGAAAGATTGTCGATCGATACAAACGAAGATATATCCCTCAGAAAAGTGGCATCGTTTAGAAAAAACAATAATCAAGTGTTCGAGACAATTCATCACAGACTTGCTCAGATTTCTTCAAAGCCCACAACGAACATTGAGGACAAATACGTGGTTACTAATTACGGTATTGGTGGACATTACTTACCGCACACTAAGTACATAGACGATGACCATTTGATCAACCGCAAAGGACAAGACGCCATAGTTATTATCCATGTAATGTATTATCGTGCTTTTCGTTAAATTATATAATCAAAATAAATTATGACCACTAGCTAGCTAGCTAGCTAGGGGCAGGGGCGTCATTTCAATTTTTTTTTTTGTGCCAAAATGTTTGCTGGCAAACCAGATCATTACCAGGCCACATAGAAAACTTATGGACTTATGGTAGTATGAAAATATCACAATGTTGTTCCTATTTTTGACGAACCATGTGTAGGTACTTTTAATGTATTTATTTTATAATGTGGATACCAGTGTACAGTTGTATTTACACTAATTGGTAAATAAATGTATGGGTATAAATCACCTTTATAATAAAATACCTAACCAAACCTAACCTAAACATTTTTTCTCCCTGCATACTCAAAATATATAATAAAGCTAGCTTAATAAAACCAGAAATGTATTTTATTGGTATCCTTCTTCACAATGTTTGTGCTATAATTTTATCAATTATAATACTGTGGGACCACAAAATCACATCAAACATTCTTGGAAATTAAACATTAGTACAGTACATTTTTTTTTTTATACTGAAAAAATATAAAATATATACATATATAATATGAAACACTTAGGTAAATCGGCGCTTATATTTATTGTTGGCAGGCCAAAGAAGGCATTTTAAAAAAAGTTGGTGCAAATGTACACCCCCCCCCCCCCCCCCCCAAATGACTCCCCTGTATAGGGGCATAAGGCCCAGATGTTTATGAACTTTGTATCTTTTTTTGGAACATCATATAAACTAGGGGCGCGGCCCGTTTCGCCCAAAATCAACCTTTCCCGTTTCGCCCAGATACCCGTTTCGACCAAAGTCATTTTAGTCGTTTTCAAATTAAGTTGGCAATGATTTTTTTAAATAATATAGTATTTTAGTATACCATATAATATTATGTATTATAATTAACTATTGAAAAAAAAAAATTACATAATATTATAACATATTACTATTTTCTACTAAAATTAAGTTATATTCAATAATCAGTTATTTATTTTTTTACATACAATACAGGCATTTTCCCAATTTAAATTAATATTTAGTATAATTATTTAAAAATACATTTTTACAGTTAAAAATTATAATACAAATTACCAGTTTTTATTTTTGTAGTCATTGCCAAAGTTTTTAAAAAATACATACTCAATATTATACATTTTTACAAATATTATTGTCTACTAAAAACTATTTAAAAAAAAAGCATTACACAATATAATATATTATTATTTTTTATAAAAATTAAGTTAAGTTATTAAATTTTCTTTTTTAAAATTTCTACACATGCTTTTTACAAATTCGTACCTAGTAATTTCGCCAGATCTATATAAAAGTATACGTTTTTCGTTGTATTCTTGTCTTTCCGTCTTTTGTTTTTTTGGGAATTTCAACACTATTCATTTTGATATACGTTTCTGTCTGGATCTCATTGCGTATAATATTTAACCAACTTATGATTGATGGAGAGTTAGAATAAAAGTTTTTATTGAAATATTAATTTAAATTGGGAAAATGCCTGTATTGTATGTAAAAAAATAAATAACTGATTATTGAATATAACTTAATTTTAGTAGAAAATAGTAATATGTTATAATATTATTATGTAATTTTTTTTTTTTAATAGTTAATTATAATACATAATATTATATGGTATACTAAAATACTATATTATTTAAAAATCATTGCCAACTTAATTTGAAAACGACTAAAATGACTTTGGTCGAAACGGGTATCTGGGCGAAACGGGAAAGGTTGATTTTGGGCGAAACGGGTGCCGCCCTAAACTAGGTATGCTCTCCTGCCTTAAATATGTTTCAATAACAAACAAATCTATACAACTATTTTTTTTTGTTTTAAGTCATTTTTGTGACTTTTAAGGTCATAAGTTCAAGGGAATTTTTCACTTGTTTTTAACAATTGAGAGAAAAATTACAATTTGATTATTTATCACTATATTTTCATATTTTCTACCAATCGAATTATTTAATTTCACTTACCTATTATTATTACACTTACGCAAAATGTTTTATTGTTTTGTAGATTAAAAACCAGTTTTAAAATTTAAATTTAGATCAAAATCAAGTATGTTTATAAACTGTAATTTTTAGTCTTACCAATAAATAATTGTATTAATTTAATAGTTTAATGAGCATGTTTTATTATTTAGGTCATTATTAACATAGGAAAATTTGTAGGGCTTTTTATTTTTTAGAACATTTCTTGATTTTTTGTCATAAATGCTAATTTATGCAAATAACTGCATATTTTTAGTACTTTTTTATAGGTTTTTTGAGTATCAATATTCGGACCCTAATGAGATTATAGCAATATTGAAAAAGTATATATACAGGGTGTCCCGTGAGGATTTACTCATTGCGATATCTCCTGAAATAATGGAGATATCGTAATTATGTTTTTTTATTAAGACTCGCAGAGGTAAGCACTACAAATATTTTATTTTTTAATTAAATTAAATTTTTTAGTAAAAAAGTTAAAAAAATTATTTTTTTATTTTTTTATTTTTGAAAAAATTGAAGATAGCCCATTCTATAGAGTATATTTTTGTGAACATTTTGAGCTTTTAACATTTTATTTTCATTAATCTCATGATTTTTAATAATTTTTTTAGTTTATTAGTAAAACGTCAATAAACTGGTTTTTGTCCGGGCGGCGAGTCCCCCTCTACGGCTAATGAGTAAATCCTCACGGGACACCCTGTATATAACATACACAAAAACAATATTTTAACCATATAATCGAGAAATAAGAGCTCCTATTCAAATACCTATCACGACCAACCAACAAAGATAGTTTATCTTAGTTACAGCACAGAGTAGATTAAATACTATTATTTATTACAGTAACTTTTTTTTATCAGTATACGTGCAATATTCGGTAGCTGGTAGGTCAATATTGTAATGAATAGTTATGGTTGTGGATTTGTTCTGCTCCGGCAGTGGTTTAATATGATATATTGATAATTATATCAGAGGTGTCCAAACTTATCTTGCCTACAGAAATTCGTTAAAAAGTCTGTTCTCGCTTTTAATATCATTATTTACGAATTTAGATGGATGACGTGCCCAAAGGAGGTGCCACGGTGCTGCCTGACGTAGAATTTTGTGTGCCAAGCGTCAAAGGCTCTGCATTAGTTATATACAATATGAGGAGTACTTTCGGACCGATTGAAGAATTATTCGAATTCACGCAGTACGGCTCTTGCCCAATAGTTTATGGTGACAAATGGAGTGAGTATAAAAATAAATAAAACATTATGCAGGAGGTACCTACTCCGTACAAAATAACCACACATGCTTCGTCTGTAAAATGTTGAGTAAATCGATCTGAATGTAGAATGTTTAGAAACGATATTCGTTCGATAATATTGATATCGTGATTAATAAAAGAATCGAATTTTGCCTTTAAATTTAATTTTAAATGAGCAAAATTATATTTAAAACAAATAAGTTTCTAATAATTAATTACGACAAAAAAATATGAAAAATGTAAGTATTGGAAAAAATACTTAAAATGTTAAAAAGTGGGAATTCTTTTAATGTATGTTTTATATTTTTTAACCATTTCATTATTGCATTTACAGCGTTGACAGCGTGGTTAAAATGACAGAACGAACGCATATCTACTATATAGAATAGTTTATAAACGTGTCCGCAGTAATCTATCGACATATTATATCATGTTATAAACTACCTATATTCTTCATGAAACGCTACACCGATGGAGTAACAAGAAAATTAGTACCTATAGTAGGTACTTATAGGAACATAACATAAATATGATATATATTAATAATTAATATGTAAAACGTATTATCATTATTTTGTATTTTAATATAGATAACATATTTTTTTCGTAATTAACAATTTAGATGGCAATTAAATATTAAAATGAATTATTAATAAATCGTTTATAAGTGTAAAATACGTCGTGTATATGTATAATACTTATATATTTGTTGTATAATTGAATATGTATAACTGTTTATGTTTAAATGTAAATACCTGGTTTCCGAAAAATAGCATTAGTTCTAACAAAGTTATCAGTATGAAAAATAAATCAAAAACAATAATAATTACCACGTTTATATTATGACATCAGAGAAGTGGTTCACTACTAAATTGTATTTTTTTCAAATATTTAGACCTATTTTTGATCATAACAATTATTTTGCACTGTTTATTCATAATATAAGCAATATAAGCTAAATTTAGAAATATAAAATTGTTATTAAATAATTTTCATAAAGAAATTTGATTTAATTTCAAAGATTTAACTCTCAGTGTTAAATTTTGTTCAGTGTACTTCAAATTATAGGGACAATTATAATTTTAGATTCTGAGCGGAGCGATGAATGTATTGGTTTTACAATGATGTGTGTTTTTATATTTTTATATTTTTTTATTTTTTTTGTGTCTGTCATCACGTTTTAGGACAGTAAAAGTGCTTGGATTTTCTTCATCAGTAGCTTTTCTGATAGGAAAGTGAATCTAGTTGGTACTTTGGGGGGGGTCAAAAGTATAAATTTCCAAGTAGTTTTCACAAGCGCCGGGAAAAACAACATAAAAATTAAGGAAAAACGGGAATTTTTACGCAAAATTGGTTTTCCAAAAAATCGATTTTGGTTATTGGTGTAACTCTAAAACAAATGAACGTGTATACATGAAATTTTCACTGGTTGTTTATATTTGCATTTTCTATACACGATAACATTTTCAAAATATTTTGATTTATTTTGAACTGTTTAGGGACATTTTCATTTTCCATTTTTTTTTAGTTTTTTTTCTAAAAATATCAATACAATTTTATTTGTTGGTTGCAAAAGCTTGAAAATTTAATAGAAGGCTCCTAATATATTGTTTCAAAGGCAGATGAAAAATATTAAAAATCCTTAGTCACAATTTTTTTTTATAAGCATTTAAAGTTCAAAAATTGACAAAATATGGAAAAATCACGAAAATTAGCAAATTATTTTGAGTTAAGAATTCGTAAAAATTTTTCTTTTTAAATCTAAGATTTGAAATTGAAACACAAGATTCCTTATAAGATTATCTACCTTTATAAATAAAAAAATCTCTACCGGACAGTCAAATTAAATTTTTATGAGCGTTTGAAATTCAAATTTTTACAACATTGGATATTCACTCGATTACTCATATAGCGATTTACTTATTTTGTTGCAATTCAAAAACGAACAACTGTAGATACATGAAAATTTCACTGAATGTTTAAATTAGCATTTTCTATACACCATACAATTTTGAAAATATTTTGACTCTTTTTGAGCTGTTTATGGACATTTACAGCTTTCAATTTTTTTTAGTTTTTTTTTCTATAAATATCAATAAAGTTTTGTCTGTTGGGCCAAAAAGTGTAAAAATTTAATACAAGGCTCCTGATATATTGTTACAATAGCAGTTGAAAAATATTAAAAATACATAGGCACAGTTTTTTTTTATAAGCATTTAAAGATCAAATTTTGACAAAATTTATCAAAATCTCGAAAATTATCAATCATTGTAATTAATAAATTATAAAATGTTCAGTTTTTATAGCTAAGGATTACAAATTCAACACAAAGGTTCTCATAAACAGTTCATACTATAACCAAAAAATCTAAAAAATATATGAACACACTTATTTTTTACAGACATTTTAAATTCAAATTTGGACGAAATTACATATTAAAAAACCTAGAATAACTATTTTAGTTACTTTGTTGTGATTGAATAATATTATTCGTGGGTACTTGAAACTTCTAAAGTGTACTATTATATATCTATGATAGTATCAGGGTTTGTTGTTGATGTATAACGCGGTATAAGTACCTAATGGATATTGTGATATGATTAATTTAGAATTTATTATAGGTAGGTACCTATTATAGGTCAATTTTTTGTTTAATACCATAGATATGTATATAATATATCTTATACCTAGACTGACATACCGTCTCCGCTCAGAATCGTTTTTCTTATACAATGATATTATATCATTGAATTCAAATTTAATACTATCCATTATACAGTGACAGACTTGTAACCTACTGTACAGCAGAGCGACACCCACTTGCCCACCTTTTTTCCTGTTGCTTCCAGTGGTGTATTGGAGGGTATATTTTTGGATTTATGCGTGCACGGTATCAGTGGCGTAGTTAGGGGGGGTTTGGGTTTTAAACACCCCCCATTGACATTTCCCCCTAATAAATATATTGTTTATAGGGTTCGGGGGACTGCTTGCATGTTTTATTGTCGTGGTTGTCGTGGTTACTGTAGTGCCTATATTCGAATTTTCGAATTTTTTTAATTTTAATGTAACATTTATTATGCCTACACAAAACACTTACCTACCAAAATTGAATTTTTCACAAAATGTGTTGTTTTAACGATAAATGACAATTTTAGTTCCCTATTATGGTGAAAGTATTTAATACAAACAAAAAATTAATGTTCGAAAATAAAATTTCCTATATTATTATTTACTAAATACAAAGAAACTTAAAAATAAAACTATGATCATTGATTACATACAGAGTACCTATAATATATTATGCATGGAACACGAAAGCTTATTTTGACTACCTACTTTTAAAAAAATTGTTATTTGTCATACCTACTTAGACTAGGTTAATTTTAAGCGTTGTACGGGTGCGTAAAACACCGAAGATCATGATCTTCGTAAGGTTAGGTATGCGATAACAACTAATGATTCCGTGAATTTTTTCATCATAAATCTTATAACTGGTTGCAAATCACTTTTAATTATTTTATATAGTGATTTTATTGGTAGGGTAAGTTAAACAACTTATGTTTGTTGTGAACTTACATACATTTTGTGAACTTACATAAATTTTTCCACCTGTAACAAAAAAAGTAAAAAATATTTATACTTGAATTTTCCATATATGGTAAAATTTTCAAACTATTTTGACTCTTTTTGCGTTATTTATAGTCATCGGAAAATTATTTATCAGTTTAAAAATCATTAAGTTATGCGATAAATAACTGAAATAGAAAACAAGAATACATTGCAGACTACAATCATTTCTGTAAAAGAACACACGGTTTATCAATAGACCGTTTATGTGCTGAATGTAGAAGTTCTATGGATTCATCATATTAAAAAATATATTTTATATCATCTATGGCAATCGCCAATTGTCGACTTTCGTCCGCGACGATTAACAATTCTAATTATTTTAGTGAAAAAAAAAATAATAAGCCATCAATATGGTCAGATAGTTCGTTGAGCCGTATATATTATTATGTAAGTTTTAACACGAATTCGCACATTTCGTTAGTTCAGGTAATTTTCATAAAATATTTCGATAATTTCAAGTTACAGTTCGGAACGAGATGAAGATAGCTGTTTCTTCGGTGGCGTCACGTACTGGACGTTTGCATTGTTGATGATGCACTCTAGCTAGGTTTCACCGGGAGAGTCGATGTTTCAGCTTAAGTTTGTTTTCATAATTTCATATTATTTTGGGATTTACGTTTACTTTTTAGACATTTTAATAATTAAAAACATAATATAACGTAATGTTGTAGTAGGATCTGGAAACTGTAGTAGGTACCTATATTCTAATCCAAATTCCAATTAATGTAATTTTTTGAATTTTTTAAATTTTAATGTAACATTTATTATGCCTACACAAAACACTTACCTACCAAAATTGAATTTTTCACAAAATTTGTTGTTTTAACGATAAATGACAATTTTAGTTCTATATTATGGTGAAAGTATTTAATACAAACAAAAAATTAATGTTCGAAAATACAATTTCCTATATTATTATTTACTAAATACAAAGAAACTTAAAAATAAAACTATGATCATTGATTACATACTAATTACCTATAATATATTATGCATGGAACACGAAAGTTTATTTTGACTACCTAGTACCTACTTATCGTGTACGCATCAAACACAAAAAAAAAAATAATAACAAAAAAATTAAAAATTAAATACACATCATAGTAAAATCAAAATATTCATCGTTCCGCTCAGAATCTAAAATATAAATTATAGGTACCCGATACAATTAATAATATTAAATAATAATTAATAATTTTGTGATCAGCAGTATTCGTAGAAAATGTTAGACTTGGAATTTTACAAATCTAGTTGGTATAATGGTAGGTACTGTAAATTTAATGTACTTAGGTACTGTATATCTTCATGTTAACTCTAAAATCCAGGAATCACATTTTCATTTAATGATTTTTAAAATACAATATTATGCTTTTATAAAAATATGCTTGTACTTCTGATATATATTCACCATATTAATAAATAATTTAATTAAGAAACGAAAATAATAATTAAAATATATCATATTTAATATTATTATAATTAAAATTCAAAATTATAAACTATTTTGATTTTTGTCATGATATACAATTTCAACGAACAAATATTGTTCCTTAACACGGAACTCTTTGACATAAAAAGTTGCGTTACCTATATGATATCCGTGGATTCATCTTATTCACGTACCTAGTATAATATCTATCAATTATATTCCATGGCAAATCTCAAATCCATTGCAGAGGACACAGTCGTCATTAAAAATTCCAAAATTTCAATAAGCAAAGCCGATA